CCGGGCGGACCAGTATTTCGGCTGGGCCCCCCCTCTGGTCTAGTGCTGGGTAGGCCCGTGCATTAATCCGTCCCTGTGTGCATGTACAATGAAATTCGAAGACAGAAAACGACGTTGGGTTGTACTGGACTCACATCAGCATGTTTGAACATCTCATGCATGTTGATGCCCTCTGTGTTGAGCACCATCTGTTTTTTGCCCTCCTTTATGGTGACTTCATTTAACAAGCAGCGTGTGATACCCTTGGTCTCCATGATGATAGCGTTCTGAGCCTGCTTCACCACCACTGACGTGAGGTCAAAGTGCACTTTAGTGAGGGGTAGGACCATGGTTAGCTGTCAAACAGAAGCAGCAATGCATAATGGATATGAATGCACCGATACCATTTGCTGTAAAAACACAGCTTTGGTTCCATATGGATACTTGTTTGACTAATATGTTTTTTTTAATTACATTACACACATATAAATATATATGCACTACCATTCAAAATTTTGGATTTTATAAATGTTTTTGAAAGAAGTCAAAACACGCTCATAGTAAAATATTACCACTATTAAAATAACTTTTCTATTTTAATATATTTTAAAATGTAATTTATTCCTCTGATGACTGAATTTTCACAGCCATTACAGTGTCACCTAATCCTTCTGGAATCATTCTAATATGTTGATTTGGTGCTCAATAAATATTTCTTATCATCAATGTTGAAAACAGCTGTGCTGCTTCACATTTTAATGGAAACCTATGATGCATTTTTTCTTTGATTAAATGTTAAAGAATTAAAAAAAAAAAATCTTACTGACCCCAAACCTATGAATGGTGATGAAATTCTGAAACTTATTTCACAATTTGTTTAATCGAGTATAGTTCAAATATTAGCAGATTAATGCATCGGACCGATATATAGCTTTATATACACTACCGATTTTTGATGTTTTTTCCAGGAGTTTCTTCTGCTCATCAAGGCATTTATTTGATCACAAATACAGGAAAAATAAATTCATAGTGAAATATTATTATGATGTAAAAATACCCCCCCCATCCAGCCGGTCCGCGAGAATATTTTCCAAAATATATTTTCCAACTGGTCCATGGTGTAAAAAAAGGTTGGAGACCCCTTCCCTAAATACATGGTGCATGTAGACAAAATGTAACATTCAGAACTCAATTCTGCTCCCCAGAACAAGCAGAGCATTTACTGAAATGAAGCAGCAAAATGGCTGACGCAGAAGTACATGCCCGCTTAAAAGAATTGTGCACAATATGAACATGAATATATATTTAGACACAGGGTGAATTCTGATACCTCCTCTTCTTGTTTTTCTTTTCTCCTGGAATCTGTGGCATCAGTATCGCCTTCATTCGCCTCATCATCCACAATCCTGTTGTTTTCTGTTTCCTCATCGGCATCATCCTGAGGAGAAGTCAAGCATACTGCTGTCGTTACACGTTTAAGACATGGTAAGCAGCACACGTGCGGCCTGTTGTGACGGTCTACCTCTTTGTGTGCAATGGCACCGGCATCTCGATCATTGTCACTCGCCATGGCTTTGCGCGTATCTACCACATTGACAGCCGCCAGTTTAGCACTCAGCTTCTTAATGGCCTCCAATAGCATGCGAAAGAATCTGTAACGTACAAATAAGCCTGTGAGACATCAGGGAAATCCTCTGCAGTGAAATGCAATGTTGTTTTAAGCGTACTTCTGCTCCATGAACTGAAGAATCTCATTAGGGGTGAGTAGCTTGTCTTGCTGGTATCGCTCTGGGGGCAGGAAGTGGAATGTGAGTTTGAAAACACGTGACTTCTGGCTCCGTTTCTCTACCGAGCGGAAAGTTTCTATCACATCCACTTTGTGAAGCACCTGTACACGGAAAGATTAAGTGCACATGGAAGTTTATACATTCATAACAATAGTCCACCTGATTGACCTTCATCATTCCTTTCCAAACCTGTATGACATTCTTTTTACTGTAAAAACAAAAAGATGTTTTGGAGTATATCTATATTTCCACATGAGGAAAGTCAATGGGAAATGGGTGGGAAGCTCCACAAACATCTAAGAAAAATGCACCACAAGTGGTCAATATGACAGTTTGATATAATGCTATTGATCACCATTTGTTCTTGCTTTCTCAATAAAAGGAAAACGATATCATAATTTCTTCACCCTCCTGTCATTCCAAACCCATATGACTTACGTTTATCTTCGAAACACAAATTAAGGTATTTTTAATGAAACCGGAGAGATTTCAGTCCCTCTACTGAAAGTCTATTCCACCTAAAACATTGTAAAACATAATCCATTTGAATCAAACGGCTTAAATCCAAGTGTTCTGAGGAAAACACGTTTGCTTTATATGATTAACAGATTTAATTTCAGCTTTTATTCACATATTTATGGATTACTTATATGATGTCTTTATGTACTTTTTGAAGTTTTGGTTGCGTGGACTTGTAATGGAGAGACCAAAAAACCTCAGGTTTCATTAAAAAATATCCTTATTTGCGTTTAGAAAAATCTTTTGGAACAAAATGAGAGTAAATAATGGCAATTAGGTGAACTAGTCATTTAAGCTGCCATATTTGAACACACATGACCATGAATAAGATTTGAGATCTATAGTGGAGAGGAAAAATGTTTTACTGAATAACACAGCACACGGTCACAAGTAAACACTGAAACAAGTTGTGCTCACCTCTGACAAACACACACGCGTTATCTTCTTCCGCAGTAATGCGTTTTTCAGTCGGAACCAGATCTACCTCTGCAAATAACCAGATCGACTGGTTTTGACAGCAGTGTCCACAAGACCTTCACGACCAGCCATACAATGGAAAAAGAACTCCTGAAAATATAAAGACAGCCTCCAGTTAAATATAATCAAAGTTTCATTTTTCTACACAAAATGAATATTACTCTAAAAAGTCAGATTTTTAGATTTTCTGAAAAAAAAAAGAAGTGGTGCTTGACTGTACAAAACAGGCCACCATAATGCTAGGATGGTTACTACAGGGTTGCTAGTGTGTTCACCCTGACAAGCCACATGATTTGAGGTATAATTTATGTCCACAGCCCTAACTACGAGTTTAATCCTTGGGGTTAAGGGTTTGAACAAACCCTTTTGATTAAGTGTGGACACTAACGAGACTTTGCATTCACAATCAAGAACAGTCCAGTCTGAACGTACAGGAGGTTTGATCCCCGTCAAGAATCTGCCAGTTACGAATCCTCCGGATCGCGGCTGAGGTTCATAGGGCTGAAAGCAGGGCAGGGACTTCCCAGAAGGCATCAGTGGCGGCCGGCGGCCCTCCAGCTCAATCTGACCCAATAAACAGGAGATCTGCACATACACAGGAACTTGGTTCAGAGGAAGATCACGGCTGAATAACATGCCATGCTAACATCTGCCATTACCTGACCCAATCATTGTCATAATTCATCAACAGTAGATCATTAACAATCACTTGGCATAAAAGTGCTGTAGTGATGGGAGAAACAAAGCTTTTCAAAACACACAAAAGGTTTTGAACCTTAACAAAGCCGTTTTGAAAGCGGCCATCATTGATTGCAGACTGCAACAGCTCCGCAATTTGACTTGAGCAGCGCTCAAATTTTATTAATAATATCATCAACTTTGGAATTTAACATCACATTCATGATTTTCTGTTCCCAAATTTAAGACCACCTAAAATGAAATTTAAAACTTGTGTAATACCATTTAAGACTTAAAATCAGTTTGATCAAATTTAATATCTTAAGACTTTTTAAAGACACACAGGTACACTGTAAAAGTAATAAAAATAAAAAACGCTGCTGTATTCAGATAATGAAGGAAACGTTACCTGCATAGTATTTACAGTTGAACCCTTGGCTCCTGACTGCACCATCAGCTGTAGGTTGTTTTCTGGGAAGGAGCGGTGGAGACCCAGCGGCATGCACACCTGATTACAACAGATCACAAGAGATGAAACCCATCGAGACAAAGAGAGATTATGATTCCACAGCGAGAAACAAAATAAACACTTTAAACACAAGCTCTGCAATTTCAAGATGTCCCGTTTATAGACGTGCACCTTGTTGATGTTGTTGTTCACTTGATTGACCTCCTCTTTAAACTTCAGGTCCACCATGTTGAAATCTCTCTGGTCTGTGTTCAGATGTGCGTCTTGCCAGCGTTCTCTAGCTTCAGTGTCTCCAGCAGCCGCAAGCAGGTTAAACGCAGCCTGGAGAGCCTGTTTTCATGCAAGAAAGTAAAAGAATATGAATCTCTGGTTTAAGACAGGACGAGCACAATGTTGAACGAACACACAAATAAATGAAGGGGTGAGACAAAAAACATCCAGAGGGCAAAAGATCCACAGAAATAGAGAGTGGGAGTATGTGACTGTAAGATTACAGCAAATATTGTGCTTCAATATTAATAATAAAAAAGTCTATATCAAACTATGACATAATCTTTGTCATAATTTCGAAATAAATACCAAAATGTATATTTTATATGCATGGAATCTAGGACAGTTGTGCAGCAGGATGCACAGATCACTTCAGTTCATGTTTCAACTCAAAGATGAGTAGACTTTTACTGTAGTAAAGTTTCAAAGATTTGCGTACTTGATAAGCAATAGAGAAATTTACATAAGTGAGCTTAAAGACCTAACATTAAAAAGTGAATGATTTTATTGTTACTTACTACTGAAGTGAAATTATTATTATTTTTTTTAAATCAATTCATTAAAAACAAAATTACACTTTTATTGTTCCTGGTCAAAAATGAACAAACACTATTACTATTTGTAATATTACTTTCACTAAACCAAGTAATTTTTCTTAATGAGACTTTAGCAACTTTAGCTCTGTCCTTCCTGTTAATTTTCTTGCCATATGTAAATAATCATGTTATAATTAATAAACTTTACCAATAATTCATCCATTAAAGCTTGACCAGAGCATATTTCTGAAACTCTGGTATATCGTTTTAAATAAACTCCTCCTTAAATGACAGCACAAGTATTTTTTTTCAGAAAGCTACACGGTTCAAACGGTCCTATGAAACAGGAATGAGCTGGTCAATTTCAGTGATTTACCTTGGAGCCACATGTGACTGACTTTTGGATAATTTTCCTTCTCTGTTTGTTGGCTCCATCTTTTACTAGAATGTCTTCCACACCTGTCAGAAAAAAAATACAGTTTAATACAAAATACCACTCTACCTTGTTTGTTCAACAAGATAAGCTGGTATTGATGTGTGATCTTACCCAAGGTGAAACCGCGGTAAAGCTGCAGGTAGGCAGTGAAGAGCCGTGCCAGACAGCTGAGCAGTTTGCCGCTGGTCTCTCCTCCGTAGAGCTCGTAGCAGCAGTGGACCAAACCGTACGCTGAACTGCCATAGTGGGCTTTATCTAGAACTCCCAGCAAGAGCTCTCCCTGACGAATGACCACCTGAAAAACACAGTACATTACATTACTAGGGTTGGGTACCGAAACCCGGTACCAATATGGCATACCCATGTAACCGGTATGTACTAGAACCGAATCAGAACGCAGATTTCGGTGCCATGCCTGAGCCATCGATTGAAATATTTGTCCTCTGGTTCTCCGAAACGGACGTAAGAAGCATCATTACCGGCACCTCACATGAAAAATAATTTCCCGACTGAGAAAATGCAGGTGAACTCAAGTCGGAAAACTCTAATAATACAAATCCAACACATCTTTGTAGTAACGCAAGTGTCCATGTTGTTTCCACATTCCGACTTAAAAGCACAACTCGGGAAATGAGAGCATCCGAGGAGCGCGTGAATGCAGTAATTACACTTGCTCTGATGGCAGCAGGTAGCCTTCTGTTAACTAAGCTAAACATGCTTAAATTAAAACGCCTAAAGCTAAACTTCCCTTGTATTCACATTTCTAAACCTGTTGTCCAACAAAAGAGAACATTATAACCGTTTTACTCCACAACACCAGTCAAATGCTTCCTTTTGTGATCTGATGTGGCTTCTTGTCACAGAATGAGGCAGAAAATATTTTCCATAGAACTTTAAAAAATACATCGATTAGCAATGGATTATAAATATACTTAATTATTATTAAAATACCAGAGATGGCTTTAATAACACAGATAAACTATATTGTTGCAGTAGATTGTTTATGGTCTATGTTTTATCATTCAAAACGTTTGTATGTTCTGTTTACTCAGTTACAGCTATAATAGCGATGCCTTTGTCCATATGCAGCGTCACCGTCTCAGTCCGGTGCGGGTAAAATAATTATAATGCTGAAGGTGAGGTACTCACCTTTATATTTATTCATTAAATAACTTATAAAGTAATTTGAAAACCTTGTGTGAGACATAATTTCACAAACAGCGTGAGTGAATCACCGCACACACTCTCTCTTTCTCTCTCAAAATATGCAAATGGCTTCAAATCACCACATAGCGTCTGTCTATAAGCGAGCTGCACGCTGCACAGTTGACACAGGAATTGTCACTTGCACAATCGAGGCAGTGTCGCATCATCACTAAAGTTTATAAATTGCATTACTTTTTAATTCTTGCCAGTGTTTAACCATTCAGCACTCGTGCGCTCACATAAAGCCAGGTTCACATTACTCCGGTTGCAGTGCATACGTGGTGCGTATTTTTTCCACGCTTATGTTAACGGATTAAAGCGTTCACTGCACACGGTTGCGGTGCGGCAGTGCGTTCAGGAGCGGTGCGTCTGCAGCAGTGCAGAGATCTTTTCCGCACCAAGTGTTTGCTGCGCTGCAAGCGCTGAATTAAAGAAACAGTGCATTGTTTTCAGTAAATACAAACATGGATTGACATGAAAATGTAGTAATAATTACACCATAAATACATATTATTAAAGTCTACTGTGCTTCACAGTCAACACATATGGCTTTTTGGCTAGGTTTAAAGGGAAAGAGCACTTTTAGATAAACAAAGCAATAATAGATGGCACTCGTGGAGGAAGGAAAACAAAGTTCTTTATGAACCGCAGGATTGCTTGTAATAAAGATTTAAATGCAAAAGGAAAGGCAGTAGAGCTGACCATTTCAGTCAATGGTAAGTTTGTGATAACGTAAGAAAAGTAGTTTAAAGGGGTCATTCAATTTTTCCTTTCTCTTTGGAGTGTTACAAGCTCTTGGTGCATAAAGAAGATCTGTAAAGTTGCAAAGACTAAAGTCTAAAATCTAAAGAGATATTCTTTATAAAAGTTAAGAGTCAGCCACGCCCCCCTAAAACGGCTCGTTCTAACACGCCCCCACATATCTACGTCACTGTGTGGGAAGATTTGCATAACGCCGCCCAAATGTTCACGAAAAGAAAGGCGGCGTAACTTTTATTTTCGCTGTAGTATTGTTGCTGCTGCCGCCATGTCGTGAAGGCGCTGTGTGTTTCGTTGTGAAAGCAAATTGGATTTGAAATCAAAATAATGGATAAATGTTGTGTTTGTGGTACACAAACAGTAGCAGACTCGTGTGAAAGCACAGTCCATGCTGCTTCTCCTCTCACAAGAGTCACCTAAGAGGGGAATTCCCCCCATTTTCAAAAATGAAATTCAGGCCCTGAATAAATGTCTAAAAATCCTGATTGGAGTATCACACTATACATAGTTATAAATGATAAAAAGAAGGCTTTAAAAAGATCTGTATCGGTGATCGGTATCTGCAGATACTGCTTTCTGTGATCAGCCTCAAAAATCCTGATCGGAGCACCCCTACTGGATATGTGGATTTTCTGTGCGAGGGCGCCCTCTGGCATCCAGTATGAATGAAACAGACATCATGTGTTTATAGTGCTAATGGCCAATCCATTATTTTTGGGGGAATTTTTCTTTATTTTATTTTTTTATTTTTTTAAATAAGTATCGGTTCAGGCACTGGAACCGTGTTAGAAGTATCGATTTGGCACCGGTATCGAGAAAGAAAAAAAAAACGATACCCAACAGGAACAATCATGATAATCTTTCTTACACAAGATATATTTTATTAAATATCCCTGCATGAGCTCCATAACTTCATTGTGTAATGACTACATGTGCTACTACTGCGACAGAGCTGACAGATTTTTTTTAACTTTGTAAAAACTGAAGCAGGGTGTATGTACTCTTATGTTAATTTTTCGAGCAGTTTCTAAATTTAGTCTCAGTCCTGTGTTAAAATTTTTATCATATTTAGTCAACCTATCCTTTTTTTTTTGGGGTGAAGTTTTTGTTGTCTAAAAATCTGGGAATTTTAGTCCAGATTTGAAAACTTGGTTACATTTATAATCACAATTATTTGCTCAAAACTATAATTCAATTTTGTTGTCATTTGAGAAATGTCATCAGAATTAATTGCAATGCCACCAATAACCACAAATAAAGGAGCAGTCGTGGCCTAATGGTTAGAGAGTCTGACTTGGGTTTGAGTCTCAGGTTTGGCAGGGATTGTACAGTTCGTCAGTCAGAAGGTTTGATGGCAGATTAGCACAGCAAACAGCGCAAACATCCGTGTGAAGGAACACAGACTGGCTCTATTACAATTTAATCTGAGCAGCACATCTCTCTGGAGATCACAAAACTCCAAATTACATTTAAACTCTTGACATCTAGAACCCCATGGAGGTCTATATTTTTCTCCTCTATTTTATAAACTACATTTTAGTCTCCTCTTTTTCATTAATGATATTGCATGTTGATATAGTCATAGTTTGTGTTTATTGATTGTCTCATCTTTGTCTAGTCTTAGTCATGCAAAAAGTTACAAATATTTTTCATCACAGTTCTTGTTAAAGAAATGAACACTAGTGCGCTGTAACAGCACTATTATAGAGTATATTCCTTGATTACCTGAGATTCACACATAGTTTCCGGCTTGTATCCTGGAACCGCTCTGGGAGGTTCCTTCACCCAGGCTTTACTGGGAATCTTTGCTTTTCCCATCAAGTTTAAAGGGATGCTGTTTTCTGGGATGACATTCAGCAAAAGGGTCGACACCACCTTGAAAAGGCAGCAAAAATGTGGTATTTATGTTCAACTGTTTTGTTTTTGGGCATCTGGAAGGTATCTGTAAGAATGCAATCGGGGTACACTGCAGGCTGAACTCATGCATAAACATATCTGATGACAATACAGATCACACACGCATTAAGATAACTAGATTACCTGCTTTCCTGTCCAGAGAGGCACAGGTTTAAAGAGCGCGGGAGGCAGGAGCTTCACTCTGCCAATCTTGTCTGTCAGGCCTCTGTAGACTAGTGCAGTGTACTGATCCCGTGTGAAAAAACAGCCACGGATGGTCATGCTGGCGCCAGACACCATGTGGTCCTGAATCAGGCCGGCCAATGGCTTCCCATCCTACAGAAGGAGCAGAGACCAGTGAAGTGTTTTCCAAAATGAAAGACAATTCATATTTAAGTTGTTTAATTTTTCTAGATGAAGTCTCACTTTAGGCACTAAGTACTGCTGGTCTGTGCTCACTAGCGTGTAGGCTTCAGCTCTGCCCAGCTCGCTCTGAGGGAAGTGAGCGTTCATCTCGTCACCATCAAAGTCAGCGTTGTAGGCCTTACAGTTGGCATAATGTAGTCGGAGCACTTTCTCTCCGGGCAGGATGCGAGCACAGTGGGCCTGAATTGATGGTCTGTGGAGAGTGGGTTGACGGTTTAACAGCAGCACATCCCCATTAATGATGTGCCGATTTACCTACAAAAGAGAAGCAATTGTCAATGGACTGAATCAACAAATAAAAAAATTTTTAATGTTGACTTTGCATTTACGGTACACTTGATTCAAAACTACTATATTAATATTTTCACAGTGTATTTACAGTAGAATGTGTAGCAGATAGGAGCTGTGTAATATGTTGACTATGCATCGTAACTGTTGTTTCAACAATGTGAAAGCTGATATTATGTCACTCACTTCACAAAAACCAAACACAAACTGATAGTGCAGGCGATAATGCATGGTGTAGCCTAATAAAATATAGTAAGGATGACCCCTAAGAAAAAAACCTATGTATGTGATTTTTTTTATTATTTTTTTTATATTTCTACAAAATACATACTTTTCAGTACAGGTAATCAATAACACACAAGCAAGTGTGCCGTTTTCCCGAATAGCAGCATACTTGCAAATGTGACACTGATTTTACACAACAGTTCAGTAATAAACAACAAGTTAATATTTAGAAAAAATGTTGTCCATATTGTTTGTTTTTGCTCTATTTCACCAAAACAAACAGTTCCAATCCACAGCAGAACTTTTGTGTAACACACATTTCATTCCTGTATCAATCATCATTTTTTAACAAATCAATCATTCAGCAATCATTGCTTTATTCCTGAATGAATCAGTCTGAACAAATTGGGTGAATAATTGACTCAATGACTCACCTCCACCAACTGACAGTTTTAGTTTCATATTTAAAGTATAATTTCATTCAAAATCATTTCATATTTTAAATATTCAAAATATTATTTTTAAAACAAATCTCATAGCATGATTTATGCAATTGTAATTGGCTAATTGCAGTGTAAATACATTTACACTTTGTCTGATTATTCTAATTGAATTTTGATTAAATGTAAGAAGGTGACAAACACTGATGCATACATCTAATATGTTTAGAAAAAACTGATCTTATAGAAGTAAAATGTCCCAGGAAATCAATTTAAGGTGGAAAATATCACCCCTTACTGAAAAAATCACTGCTATGAACTAACTGCTGCACTGAATATGAAGAATATGAAAAACTTTCTGAGTCGGCTATCCAACATCAAGGTATAATTTGTCAATATTACACACCCCTAGAAGCAACATTCAATTATTAATATAGTATAAAACTGATCTTATAGTGTGCGTAGACTAGCTATCTAACAGTATGGCTCATGAAACTAGATGTTATAATATTATACAAAATCTACCCAAATAGCAGTGCATCTTTGTCAAGATAACTGACTCACAATCTTCATGGGTATCCTGTGCTGGCCGGTGCTGGGGGTCAGGAGCTGTTTGGCCACGGCTTCTCTCTGGGTCAGGTTGCTGCTGCTGAGGATGGTTCGAGACCCGTCTTCATTAATGACCATGGAGGCTCCAGGGTGGATGCTGGGTCCATTCAGCACTGCCTGCCGGAGTTCCTTCACATTCCAGGGTGTCACCGGCTGTGGGTACGTCAACTTGGTAGCAAAAACCTAGAGGAACCATATCAAACGACTTTAAAAAAAACACCAAAATCAGTATTAAACACTTTTGTACAATGGCTGCTAAACTGGATATTTCACTGCTAACAATGAAAACATATGAACGCTACTTTCATGCCTCTCATATAACTCTGAAATCGCTCTCTTTCCATATCAAAGCAAGTACAGAGAGAATTACTACAGCTACTGGACTTTATTATGTATTGTTTGGTGAATATGTCATGTCCATGTATTTCTTTATTTGATAAGTAGCTGTTCAATAAGCAGAATAACGAACAGTCAGCCCAAACACTATCAAAAACGTTATCAAAAGGTAAAATCCAGTCTCACCATTGGTATTCCAATCTCATTGGTTCCGATGTACATATCAGGACAAATGACTGAGCGTGCAGCGTAATCCACGCGCTTTCCCATCATGTGTTTCCTGAACAAACCCTCTTTCTTCTCCAAGAGCTGAGAAACACATTCGAAAGAGACAAACACTTCAAAACCTATTTTAGTTCATAATGGATTCTGACCTTGAGATCTGTCACACACTGACCTGACGGATGCCTGGGAACTTCTCAGTCATCAGTTTGTCCATGTCGCTGTCAAACACTATGTTGACGTGACTCTGCAGGCGGATCCACATGTTATAGAGCTTGTCTGTGAGAGTCAGCCCTTGGATTCCCGTTAAGAAGGTCTGATCTATCTGACTGATCTCTGTAGACTGAAGAAATGACAGATCATGAACACACATGGCACTTCTCATAAGAGAGGTGCAAATAAATGGATGGATTTGAAATGGGGAAGGAAATCGCAACTGATTTACTATACTATCATTAAAAAATATACACATACAACTGCTGAAATTAAATCAACAAAACACAATATTTCCTCAATTTCCTGAAAATAGATTTATGATCATTTACGTAAAACGATTTACAATGTACTTCCTCAAAATGCACATGATTTTATGGATTTCCCCTGTTAAACACAGAAACATTCAATAAAATGTATACTTTAGGGAGTAACATTTTTTGGACCCTGTCTACAACTTGGGAAGTTGAAATAAATGGTCAAATTGTCTTCGTTTTTATAAATTGGTTTGTGTTGACTGTATTTGTCATTCAACCTTGGTACCAAAGTTATTGACAGAATTATGCATATATTATTTGCATTCATTTATGGAAAATTTTACCATATAATTTTTCTACAAACCAACATTTAGTCCAAACTACCCCCTACTGAGTAACAGCTCAATTTGTGGTAAATTTGCAATCCTGTTACCCATTCTTTTTTTCACATTTTAATGAATTTCTACATTTAATTAACATCTATGTGCCAAATTAATAGGGTACAACCATTCTATAAAAATAATATTAAAAAAAGCTCACAATGTTATATGAGTTTCAAGCCTTATATGCTTCATGGAAACTACTACATATATAAAGAAAGATTCATGCAACAAATTAAATAACTCAGATTCAAAGTGATAACAATAAATTTAGCGTATTATTGTATTTAGTTTATTGTTAACATAAATTCTTCCCACCTGCTCCATCTCTGTCTGTGTATCTTCAGTAGCGTTGGTCTTCTCAGCAGCGATTAGTGCGAGCAGTTTCTGAATGATGAAATTATCCTTTAACACGGCCTGGAGGTTCACGGTCTGTCCGTTGGTGAACATCTGGTCTCCCAAACGATTAACAGGCCTGTACCTGTACACACACACACACATACACACACACACACACACACAACTCATTCAGTCAAATATCTCTCTGTAAAAACAGGAAACTACATAATCATCTCAGAGTAATGTCTAACAGGTTGTTGTATACAGGACATTGTACATACAGTGATAAACTTACCTGCATGGAGGAACCACAAGCAACTCCAAAAAGAAAACTTCAGGACTGAAGCCTTTCTCGGAGTTGTTCATGTCAAACCCTGAGAACAGATGCTTCAGGAAGAAACCTAGAGAATCAAAATGATACATTTAAAAAACCTTTTGTTTGCATTACGAAATCTAGAAAGAAAATGGGAATTAAACTCAACCCATCTTACCTTCTTTCTCCCAGAGTTTGATGACGTGTTCTCGTAGCAAACTTGGTGTCAAGAATCCACGTTTGGTAATCAGTGAATCATCTGGAAGCAAACACAAATACTGTAGATACTCGCAAAGCGTAAACCCACTGTAGATCTGCATTTACACTGCTAAAATACAGGATTACATTTAATGCAGTTTCTGTCTTTCATTGACTGCATACATGTTAAATATTTTAAAATCATTTCGAAGTTAACATATCGTCACTGATTGCATTTATTTAGAAAATGTTATTTTCAAAATAATTGCAAAATTCGCTATCCAGTATAATAGAGTTTGTTATACTATAAATTTACTGATGAAATCCTTTATTATCAGGCATTATTACTCCATTCAAGTCCTCACCCATAAAGAATACAACTATATAACTTTTTTTAACATTATCTTCTGCTCTTATGTGGTAAGAAGAAACCCAAAAAACTTTATAATCTGCATCTATTGACCACCGACACATTGATACAGTAATGGTGGTTTGATGTTGAATGACCACCAAACAGCAAAGTACGGTCTTACTTAAACTGTGACCCTGGACCACAAAACCAGACTTAAGTGTCAATTTTGTAAAATTGAGATTTATACATCATCTGAAAGCTGAATAAATAACCTTTCCATTGATGTATGGTTTGTTAGGATCGGACAATATTTGGCTGAGATAAATCTATTTGAAAATCTGGAATCTGAGGGTGCAAACAAATCTAAATATTGAGAAAATCATCTTTAAAGTTGCCCAAATGAAGTCCTTAGCAATGCATATTACTAATCAAAAATTAATTTTATATATTTACGGTAGGAAATTTACAAAATATCTTCATGGAACATGATCTTTACTTAATATTCTAATGATTTTTGCCCCAGCGACTTAAAGGGGTTAGTTCACCCAAAAATGTCAATTAGGCTGCGTTTTACTCACCCTCAAGTCATCCTAGGTGTATATGACATTCTTCTTTCAGACGAATCCAGTCAGAGTTATATTAAAAATTGTCTTTGATCTTTCAAGTCGTTTCATGGCACTCAGCGGGTGTTGCATTGCTTC